AGACCCATGTCACACCAAGCCAAGGTGTATCCTAACATGCTGATAACTAGTAGAGGGGTGAAAGCCATGGTAGGAGACCTTCCCTCCTTGTTCCCTATACCTTCAAGAATAGTCCAGGTCATGCCAAGCCTCCTCCAACCCAGGCTGGCTGCAGTGCTCTGGGATATGGGTGACCCCCAGCTCACCTTTCATCAGCTGCAGCAAAGCTTTGGCTTAAAACTAATTATAAGCAAGAAAATTAATGACACTTTGCATGATGTTTGGCACTGGAGCAGACCAGATGCCCCTCAGCCAGCAGCATGAGGCACTAACAGCCTAATGGGGTTCCTGGCTTGATGTGTCATGGGACCACCCAGGGAATCTCTTGGGAGGGAGAGCAGGTTCCTGACCATGAGACACCCAGGTGAGAGCCTCATTCTCCCACCCCTCCAGCCAAAACCTGTCCTGTCTGTCCCTCATTTCCCCCACCAGTGTCCAGTTGGTGAGACAAAGCAGGGGGAGGTCACCTGATCACTCATATCATGGGCAGAACAGGCTCAGCTTGGGGAATAAAACAACTTCTTGTCAATTCAGATAGTGCAAATATTTAAGTACTGATTCAGGTGTTGGAAACAAACCAACCCCCCCCAAGTATTTTCACACTTGAGGAAAGCACCTCCCCTGCCCTTTGCGAGGTTTAAGGTCACTCCCAGCACCTCTTCTCCTCCTTCTCCTCCTCCAACCATCTGTCCCAAGCAGGGTCAGCCCTGGGCTCACAACTCTCCAGGTATGAAGGTTGGGTGATCTGCTCCTCTACTTAGCTGTTCCAATGTGTCTCCTCATCCCACACAGGCAAACAACGACACAGGCAAATTACCCCCCCCAGATGGTATTCCTAAAAAAACTCCACACATTTCCTCAGAAAACCCTGCAGGCAAATTACACCCCCCCCGAATGGTATTCTTAAAATAACTCCACACATTTCCTCAGAAAACCCTCTCAGTTTGTGGTTTAAATTGAGAAGAGAATGGGGGTTTGGTGCCTATCTGGCATTTACCTGTTGGCCCACAGTATGCACAGGCTCTCAGCACAATGCCCTGTCATCCACCAGGTGCTGTTCTTTGGAAAGCTCCAGGATCAAAGCTTTGTGTCCAGGCTTGGGAAATGAGCAGAATCTCCAGGGTTTTTTTCCTCAATTCTGCATTTATTCCCCTTGCTGCTCTGGTTCAAGGCTGCTTGGACTCAAGACCTTGCTCACAGCAGAACTTGCTGCTTCTGCACACCACAGGCAGAGATGCAATGAGGCCACTCAGCTGAGGTCACTGGGGTGACTTTCCTGGAGCACATAGACCTGTGACAGGGATCCTCAGAAGTCCTGGTGGCTCAGAGCATGGACACCCGTGGCCGTGGCTGTTCCTGGGTTTCCCCCACAACCTATGAATATGACATGACCCCAGGGATGGGAAAAGGACATGAACTGAGAGAAATGGAGATGAGTCACCTTCACCACTGACATTTGTCTCTGTTTTTGTCGTGGGACTGATTCACAAAGAGCTGGCTCAGAGGGATGGCAGCAAAGAGTTCATTGCCACCACTTGGTGTCATCACTGTCTCAGGCTTGGTGAAGTGCTCCCTGTCAGCATCACTCACACAGGACTGACATTCTTGCTCCTTGCAAAGATGTCAGGCTCCAGGCTGGTGTGCTCTAAGGTGTCTGGAGACCTCTGTGCCGCAGGACATCAGCAAGCCAGGCAGTGAGGAAGGGAGGGAGAGGCAGAATGGAAAGCAGGTTGTCATCAGGAAGCAAAACAATCTCAGTCTCCTAAAACACCTTTGCCACCCCCCAAGGAAAACTCTTCTTATCTTGACACCAAAACTGACCTGTCCAAGGTACATCCATCCAGAACATCCTGAGGAAGTAGTTGTCCAGAACTTGGCATCCTTATTGTATCACCAATCATTTCCAGGGAGCAGTTAGCAGAGTATCCTAGTGCAGAGGAGCCAAGGTTGAATGCAGAGTAGGGTGGAAACCACCTGGGTGCTCCATCAAGGAGCTCCCTATCACACACCAGCCTCTGGAAAAAAATCAAATGACACAATGGACAGTTAGAGACCATACTGAGAGCAATGGGTGGTGGGACCTTGGGAAACATTTACCAAAGTCCACCTGGTTAGTCAGTGCTGGGGGATCTGTAAGACAGGCTGTCCCTGCCCAATCTGAAGGCTTAAGTACTGTAGAAGGGGATAAAATTCCCATAGTGCACATTAAAAATATGCTGGAGGAAACAATCTGAGTTATTCCTGCCTCAGGCGAAGGAAAACCTCCATCCTTCCTTCTGTCCTTCCCTTCAAGCTGCTCCATCATGGGCCATTCAGCTGTGGCAAAGACTCCTAGGCAAAGATCCAAGCATCAGGATGGGACACTCGATGGGCTCATCACAGCAGAGCCCCAGCCCAACTCCAGCTGCAGCATCCTCCGTGCCAGGGAGCAGGACAGAAGGGCAATGGGCACAGACAGTGGGGCAGGGTGGCACATGGACACACACACCACATCTGTCCCCCTGGCACTGATGGGTCAGGCAGAAAACCTCCTGCTCTGTCCACAAACCTGCCTCTCTGTCCAGGCACATCCCCAGGCTGTCCCCACCTCTGTTCCCAGCACTGCCAGAGGCTGATCCAACACTGCTTGCACAAGAGGTGATGGGTGCTGCTCCCCTCGCCCCCAGATGACCTGGATTGAGTGACTCAGCCCTAATCAGGGGATCCATCACTCCTGAGGGAGTGAGGCAGAAGCTGCTCAAGGCAGAGTGCTGCCCCAGCAAGGGCAGAGTGCTGACAGTGGGAGCCTATGAGCTGCTGGTGAGCAAGAGCAAGTCCCCAGACCTGTTCCCTGGAAACTCTAACGAACGACACACCTCTATTACCTGCAGAAATACCCAGAAAATTTGGAAAAAAAAAAAGAAGAGGAACCCTCCCCAAACCCAGTTATAACAATGGCCTCAAGCTTTCTGTAGGTCCTCTTCCAGGATGCAGTGCTGGGTGAGGGGTAAATTCAGCAGTTTTCCCACATTTGGCAGCTGATGACCCCATCAGCACCCTAGGGAAGGGGAACATCCCCCCACTGCCATCATAGCCCATTTCCTTCAGTGCTGGGGGCAGGTGAGGGAGCCAGAGCAGCCCTGTGAGCTCCCCTGAGCTCCCCTGCACACAAACCCTGTGTCATTGGGCACCTCCTTTAGGGAAGGAAGGAAACTCCCTTCCCCTGGCTTTCATTTTTGGCAGTAGCACTTATCCCCACAAAATCACTGTGCCTCAATCTCTTCCCCAGACATTGGTTTAGCAAAGCCAGTGCAGGACTCATCCCTCTGCTGCCTCTCCCAGAACTCCACTTTGATTAACCTCAGGCTGCTAATTTCCAGTCACCACCTTGGTTATCCCCCTCCCACACTGGAGGGAGAACATCCTTCCACCTTTCCCAGAGGTCATAAGACCCATGTGTGTACACACAATCACTCCCAAGGATCTGCACCATTTCCTGTGAAGTCCAGGGTCAGGAGAGGGTTCTTGTCCTGCTGGTCCTTCTCTGCATCAATGCAATGTGCTTCAGCCAACCAGACTGCCAAAGAATTAGAGCAAGCTTGAATTTCTCCATCTTCACACTGTGCCCAGTTTAGTACTCTGAGCATCTTCTGCATAACGGGGCTGGGAGCCCTCTAGGCCTGTGACCATCTGCTGGTCCCCCTTGTTAGTTGCCCAGTGATCATCAACAAGTCAGCCAGGACCTTCCCAGAGAGCCTCCCCCAGGGATGGAGACAGGAGCAGGAGCAACAAGGAGGCCACGAAGCCACAGCCCATGCCAGGTGACCTCAGCTGGGATACCTCACTGGGCAGTTCAGGTGAAGGGTTTTGAAGCCCTCTGCTCTCTTCCAGCAGCCACAGGGGCTTCGTGTCCTTAGGAGCAGCAGGACTTTTCACTGTTCTGGAGGAAAGCCCAAAGAAAAGAAGGTAAACTCCTCCCAGGATTGCGCCAACCCATAGCTCCCTTGCCTGCCCTGGGGCTCAGCAGGAGTGCCAGAGGAGGCTGTGGGTAAGGCTGGGTGATCCAGCTGCTTTGGAGGCAGGCACTGTGAAAAAACCCTGGGAGAAGCAGAGCCAAGTGGCTCCTCACCCGCAGCCCTGGGAGCCAGCACGGGAGGACACAAAGCATCACAGAGCTCACCCAGCTCTGCACAGCACCCAGCACAGGTAGGCTTGGCATGGGGAAGGGGCTGTGGGTGTTTCTACAGCCACTGCTGGGATGGTCCCCATTCCCAAGGGATGCTGAGCACCCTTTCCTAATGGGAAAATGCATTGGCCAAGTGCTGGGGCAAAACCAACCTCTGGCTCTCCTCAAGCAGCATCCCTTTGCCCACCTCCAGGCAGCTCCTGGGACAGAGGGTGGCAGGGGGTGGTGGGCAGCCTGCTGGCAGGGCCAGCTTCTCTGTGCCCTCCAGGTTATTCCTGTTTCCTTGGGCAGTGAGGAGTTAACTGTGCTAGGGCTCAGTGAGGAGCAGCCTGATGGGGCACAGCCTGTATTTGTGCAGTGATTCACTCAGCGCCCCGAGCACAGCACCCATGAGTGGGAGCCAGAATGTTGGATAAAGAGCTGAACCAGGGAAGGTGGGAGCACAGGGAAGAGACCAGGGATGGAGGACAGGCAGAGGATGGGAGTGAGTGGCCCAGTGGTGTGTGCATGTCTGGCTGTCCTACCTTAGGGACAACCTGAACACTGCAGCAGATGCCCTGGTGACTCTAACCCAGCTTTGAGGAACCTTGGGGAGATGTCCAAGTATATGCCCAGTGTGGGACTTGCAGTGTCCATGGGCACTGGGGATGCAAGCACAGCTGTCCTGGGACAAGCAGAACACTGGCAAGCAGGCAGGAGATGTTTCTATGGAGAAGGCTGGGCAGAGTGGAAGTATGGAGGTGATTTCTCTCCTTTGTCTCTCTGGGGCTAATTTCTAGCCCTCCTAGGCAGCAGGATGACACTGTGGAATGGCTCCTACCCCTTCTATCCTGGTGCCAATGCCTGCTTCCCCTTTGACACCACCCGGACTGTCATCATCACTGTCTTCCTCTCCATACTGGTCACCTTCATCATCATCCTGCCAGGGATCCGGGGCAAGGGGGTAAGTGGAGGGACAGGGGGAGTTCAGTCCTCTGGTCCCTGTCCTGTGCATCCCACATTCCTCTTTCTTCCCAGCCTTAAAAAGAGATTTGAGGACCAAACACCCATGGGTTCACAGCCAGGGCTCTGGGATCTCCAAGTGAGCTCCATGCTAGAGACACCAAACTCCACCATCCCAAATTCCTGAGGTGCCCAGATCTGAGCTTGGCTGAATTTCTCTGTGAGCAAACCTGAGCGATTTCACAGGAGTGGAAAAGCAGGGCGAGGCTCAAAGATCTCTCAAAGATCTCTCACTCCACCTTTCCTGAACACCTCAATAAAGGAAGGAGGTGCACTGGGCATGTCCCAGCACTGCACCTGGGGCTCTGGGATGGCCAACAGACACTGCTGAGAGCCACAGCAGGGTTTGCTGTGTGCTTGGCTGAGGGGCTTCTCCCCTCAAAGGGGACACACTATGAACCCCTGGTCACTGCTTTTGTCTCCAGCTGTGGCTAGCTGGCAACATAGCCAAACACAGGAGGTTTGGATAAGTGTGGAAATTCCAGCTCAAGACTATTAAAGGGAGTGTCTCCATCCTCCTTCCCAGAAAGGAGGCAGGGGATGTCACAGGTTTCCTCAATGTGTAGTTTTGACCTTCTTGCTCTGTCTGGATCTCCCCACTGCCTTCCCTAAACCAGAGCAGGGATGCCCCAGCCACATGTCCCCACCATGACACCCACCTGCAAAGCTGATGGGATAACAGGCCTGTTCCTCACCATCTGATGGCTCTAAATGACACACTTGGTGCTGAGGTCCCCATGGCAAAATCTGACTGAGACATGTCCCTCTGCTCTGCTCACTCCTCACAGCGACTCTTCTGGTTCCTGCGGTTTGTGATGGGACTCTTCGTGGGAGCAGTGGTCCTCAGTGAGTATCAGTGTCCTGTGGGGGAAGATCAAGGATGTCCAAGGCATGGAGGAGAAAAGTAAGGGTGGATGAATAGATCAGTCAAGGGCCAAGTCCAGCTGGTAGGATGAGTTGGGGAAGACTGAGGTCTGAGTCTAGGACCTGGTTCCAGCAATTGGTGGGAGGTGCAAGCCCCATCTGCTTCCTCTCCGAAGGCTGATGGTCACATCCAGGGCACTTACTAAAAGCCCACCACCAACTGCCAGGGGACCCAGACAAATTGGCAGGAGCTTAGATGAGAACCAGTGCCCAGACATCAGCACCATTGCCTCCAGGGTCAGGGACTGCACTGGAGCTGCGGAGAAACCAACCCAAGTGGGGCTCTGAAGGACACAGGTTGGAGCTGATACTGGGGAAAGACATACAGGACTTCTGCTCCTTGGGGCTCACAACCCAGGCCTTGCCCCCGGGATGAGCTAGGTGACACTCAGGTCATGGTGGCCATGCTGGCAGGTGCTCTACCACTAGATGTCTTGCTGTCAGGCCATAACTAACCTCTGAAGTCTTCACAGCCATACAGTTCACCAGGGACTGGGAGACTGGCTGGGTGCAGGCAAACACCTCCTACAAGTCCTTCAGCCATGCCTTGGTGAACGCAAACATTGGGCTCCACATTGGCCTGTCAGGGCTGAACGTCACGCTGGTGGGTGAGTGCATATCACAACAGGAGGGGACTGGGTGCCAGTTGGGCAGATACTGGGTCTGTAGGCCCTGCAGGCCCCACACCAGAAAGTCTTGAAGCTACCTCCAAGGCTGAGAAAGTTCCTTAGTCTTCATCACCTGGCAGGAAACCCAGAGAACCAAATCAACGAGACCATCAACTACAACGAGCATTTTCCCTGGAGCTTTGATGCAAACTATGACCACAGCTACACCGAGGGGCTGGAGAAGGGGCTGCCCAGCCCCATCCTCTATGTGGTGGAGAAGTTCACCACACAGAGCCCCTGTGCTGTGCACAGGCAGTACCGCATCTCCGGCCACTACGCGTCCCTCACTCTCTGGTAAGTTAGAGCCAGAGGTCACCTTATCTCTGCACTGTGGGGAGGTGGAAAGAACCAGGTAGAGCAGGAGGAGCTTGCTGGAGCCACCCTCTTCCCTGTAAGGCTATGCCAAAGCCTTGGCTACTCTTTGACACACACTTTTCTGCAGAGCCAGGGTGCTAATCTCCCCAGAGTTCCCTTTTGTGTCATCTGCTCCAATCTACAAAATTCCACGTGGAGAAAAATTATTCTTCATTTAAAAGAAAGCAAATTCAGCTGCATGGGACTGACAGTTACCCAGAAGAAGGGACCCCAGTGGGAACAGCCACGGGAGGGTTCCTCTAGCATGCCCAAATGGGCATGAGACCTGCTGGTGGGGAGTGGAAGGGACCATCGAGAAGAGGTTCATCAAGAAGACAGCTCAGAGGCTGTGTTTGGTGTGAAACTGAGAGTCTGTTGTAATCATGGAGTGTCAGAGCTTCCCCATGTGTTGCAGAGGTGGTAGAAAAGGCACTGCAGGCAAGGGTGAGTCTTATGACTCCCCCTATGGACATAGGCTCCAGGTCTCTGCCTACATCTCCTATTTTTTGTCTTCAGGAAAATTAATTATCCCTGCCCAAACATTTCTGTTATTGAGAAGGAGTATTTCAAGGCAGAAATGTTGGCAAAAACTTATTTGGAAGCAGAAACATTTGTTAACTCACTCTGTGGTGAGCTAAACCCAAGCCCCACGCACAGGGCAGGGCTGGCAGCTGGGTTCACTCCAGGTGCTGAATCAGCTGTGGGTACAGCTCCTGGTGCAGTGCTCCAAACAAAGGTGTCCCTTGCTGCCATTGTCCCTTTGAACAGGTGGGAACTACCTGGGGGTGGCCAGTTGTGGTGAATCACAAGAATCAGAGAAGCAAGTTAATTTGGAGGGACCTCCAGAGATTTCTCCTCCAGTCCCACACCCAGGGCAAGGCTGATGTCAAAGCCATATCAACGTGCTCAGGGCTTTGTGAAGCTCAGCACTGAGTGTTCCCAGGTGTGGAATTCCCTCTCCACTGCTGTGGGACCTGTCCCACAACTCAACCATTCATGTAGCTACAGAATCATTGGGCTGAAAGGGACCTCCTTAGATCAGCCTGTGCAGCCCACCTGCTGAATTTATAGCAGGTTGTCTGGGGCTGCATCCCTCCCTTGGGATGTGGACAGGAGACCCTGAGCAGAGGCTCTAAGCATGATGCATTCTGCTCAGTTTTGTGGTCCTTTCACAGGCTGGCCTTTTGCACATGGCTCATCTCCATCCTGCTCTTCTCCATGTCTGCCCTGCTCTACGGTGGCCACATGCTGCTGCTCACTGCCACACTGATCCTCTTCTCCCTGCTCTTCTTCTTCACTGCGAGGAACACCCCAAAGTGCCCCATCCAGTTTGGCTCAGTTTCCTTGAAAACAGACTATGGTGAATCCTTTTGGCTGACATTAGCCACAGGTGAGTGCTCAGCTTCCTCCATCCCTGCAGCAAGGATGCTCCACAATGCCCCAACAGTGCCTCATCCCTGCTGTCTCCATGGCTGCTCACAGACAACGATTTTTTTTTTTTTAAATGCATAAAAGGTTTTAGGTTAGAATTATCAAGCTTGGGGGAGAAAGGAGCTGAGCAGTCAAGAGATCTGAATGGCCAAAGTTGCCTGCCAGACATGTGCCCAGAGAAGTGACATGAAAGCCACAAATCACAGAGCCAGCAGGAGATCTGGCCTGGACAGACCTTTGGGGATCCCTCTCCCAGCCCTTGCCCAGAGCAGGAATAACCTCAAAGCCACATCAGCCTTATTCAGGCTGGTGGTGGATGTCCCCATGGACAGATTCCCTCTGCCTTTCAGGACCTGCCCCACAGTTGTCCCACTCATGGGCAGCAATTGCTTCATAGAATCATAGAATTAACTGGGTTGGAAAAGACCTCCAAGATCATCAAATCCAACCCTACTGTGGCTGGACACTAAGTGCCACATCCAGTATCATCTTGAAAACCTCCAGGGATGGTGAATCCACCACCTCCCTGGGCAGCACATTCCAATGCCTGATCACTCTCTCTGTAAAAAAAAAATCTCTTCCTAATATCCAACCTAACCCTCCCCTGGCAGAGCTTGAGTCTGTGCCCTCTTGTCCTGCTGCTGGTTGCCTGGGAGAAGAGACCAACCCCCACCTGACTCCAACCTCCTGTCAGGGAGTTGTAGAGGGTGATAAGGTCTCCCCTGAGCCTCCTCTTCTCTAGGCTTCCTTCCATCAGACAAGAATTCCACATGTTACAATGCCCACCTCCAAGGAGGCTGGATCTTTTCCAGTAGCAGATGGCAACTGAGCTCCCCTGGAGACTCTTCTTTGTCAGGCTAAACAAGCCTGGCTCCTCCAGCCTTACCCCACGCACAGTGGGCTCCAGCCCCAACCCTCTGTCCCAGTTTGTTGACTTGGCCTTTGTACTGGAGACTCCAAAGTCATGCCAGAATCCAGATATGGAAAGGGAAATAATGCCTTCTCTTACCTGCCTGGTGATGCCACATGCCATTGGCCTCCAGCTGGGTCTGGATGGAGCTGGGACACAGTGGGAGGAGGTGGTGGTAACATGTGTCCCTGTGCTGTGCATTTCAGGGCTGCTGTGCCTGCTGCTGGGGCTGGGAATCATCATCCTGAACTCCACACGGCCAGAGAAACTCAAGCTCATTTTTAACCTGGACAAGAGAAAGGAAAAAGAGGAGGTGTGGAGCAAGTCCTACCTGCCAGCTGAGCCCAGCTACCCTGCACAGGACTTGCTGATGAGCTCCCTGGGAGAGCTCTGTGAGGTGACAGCCACCCAGCTGTGAGGCATGGGGGGAGGCAAGGCAAGGCCTGAGGACACCTCTCCTGAAGTCACCAACCCCACCAGGAGCCCAGGTGGGAAGAGACATGACAAGAGCCAGGGGATGCAAGTATCCAAGTCTGGAAAGTTGTCCCAAATACAACAGTTTGCCCTGATTATTTTTTGCTGTGGTTTTACTCACCGGCTGCTGGAAGAGCTTTTGGGGTGAGGAGGATTCATGCCCCATCCCTGGCTGTTCACTTCCAGGTACTGGTCTACTGCCCTTCCCCTTTGTCCATCCCAACAAACCCTGAATCCTCCCCAGGATACAGAGACTAAAGCAGAACAAATTGGAGAGAAACCAAGTAAATGCAGACTCATAGATATGAACCAAAGGAGAATTAGAACCCCTGCAACAGCATCCCTGCCCTGAAGACCTTCCAAGAAGTTCCCTCTGCCCAGAGAGACTCTTTCCATCAGTGGCCAGGAAGAGGGAGTGGAGCTGCACTCACCAGGGCACTCTGTATCCAGCATGTCCTCTTGGACTGGGGTAAAGAGCAGGATGGCGAGGAGTAGGGTACTGGAGGCACCAGATCAGGTGGGAGGGAAGGGATGGGAACAGAGGTCTTATAGTGTCTTGGAGATCAGCTGGAACCGATTGGCAAGAGATGAGCAGCACCTGTCTGGGAGGCTTGGGTTCCTCCTGCTCAGCCATGGAAACATTCATGTCATGGGCCATGAGACACTGAAATTCTGCACACCCAAGGTGGATGCAGCCACCCACTCCTGGCCACTGGCAGCTAGCAGGTACCTTGTCCACATGGGAAGGGAGAGAGGGAGGGAGGGAACATGCTTCAGGTTTGCACCCCTTCACCTCCATGCAGGTTTCACAATTTCTTGTATTTTCTCGCTTGTACTCACTTATTTTCACCCCTATCTCAATAAAATCAGCTGGACCTGTCCTTTCATTTGTCTGTTGATGGAGGTGACTCTCTGAGGGCTGTTGCTCTGACATGACAGCCACAGGGAAGGGAGAAGGAAAAGGCAGAATTCGTTTGTGGTGCCAAATGGGACATCTGACCATGGCCAATTGGTTCAGGGCAATAAAGTCCAGTCAATACACCCTAAACAGGGTATTAGAATATTTCAAAGAAATCAAACAGGGCAGATATGGCAGGACTTCAGCTCCTGGAGTGTCCCTGGGCATGTGGAAGCTTCGATGGGAGCAATATCCAGCCCAGCAGAGGTTCACAGAGGGACAGGCAGGTTCTCTGCAGAGGAGGTGCATCCTGCCCCATCCCACTGACCACGGAAGACCATTCAATGAAGACCTAGAGGACCCAATAGGGTTTGGAGCTGAACTCCTCAGGCTTGGGAGGGGAAGACCATTCAATGAAGATCTAGAGGACCCAACAGGGCTTGGAGCTGAACTCCTCAGGCTTGGGAGTCCTTAGCCAGGATGTTCTCAATGGCATCTATCAGGAGATGCTTCAGCTTACAGATGAACTAGATCCAAGGCACAACAACCCCCTTTGATTTACTCTGTTGAAATTCCACCCTCATAAACCTTTCCCTGGTGTGTTCCTCCTTGCAGCCCAGCCAGGGGGACATGGCAGAGGGCTGGTTGCTAGATGGCATGGTGTCTGCATGTCCTGGTGCCACCAGGGATGGGGACCACAGTCCTTGCAGAGCCTCCGGTTGTGCTGTCCAGGACATGGTGTTCACTCCATTGCTGGCACTGACTTTGGTTAGATGCCAGATTCCCTGGACACTGTGGGACCAGAGTCAGTCTGGGCTGAGAGCCAGGGATTGAATGGTGATTATTTTACCGCCTGCTGTTCAACAACTCCTCAGTCTAGCCAGGAAACTGAGCTGGAAGCTGTGGTGGATGGAGAAGGTGGGACCAGCAGCAGCACAACAAAGGGGCTGTACAACCACAGCTCTTACAGTGCATGTGAAGCTGCTGCTGTGACGTATGGTGAGGCAAAATAATTACCCCTGATCAATGGCCCTGGGTGTGGCCCTCCCTTGGTGGCAAGGGAAGAAGTCCTCCACCTGCAAATGGCCTTGCAGGTGGCTCCCTGTGACACAGCCAGTCCTGGTTGTCCTGACCCCTGCTCTGGATGCAGACATAGTGCATGAGGAGGTGTCTGCATCCCCCATCATGTCATTATGAATGCCCAGCTGGCCTCACTTGAGGTCTGATGCCAAAATCCCAGCCATCCTGTGTTTTCTGGGAAGCAGACAAGACACACCAAGATCTGGTGTCTTGGTGCTTCAAACAGATCAAAGTTTATTTATGGTTCATTTATTTGGGTTCATGGCCCCTGTATGTCTGATGCAACAGGACAAAGTTTTTCTTCTGATTAGGATGTTCTTGGGGAAGAATCATGACCAAAAAGAGATAAGGCTGGAGAGAGCTAGATGCAGTGGCCAAAAGCATGGGAAAATCCCCAGTCTCTTGTGCTTCCAGGGCATGAGGTCTGTCCCACACCAGCCCCAATAATTTGTGGTTGGCTGTAGCATCTTCCAGTAGATACCTCCAGACCTGCCATATCTGGATGCAAGAAAGCCTCAAGAAAGAAAAGGAGGATCCTTAAGGAAGTTTTGTTGGTTTAATCTTATGGCTTTTGTCCCACCACTCAGAGAAAGTCCTTTTGAGGCTCTTCTACACCCTCACAACATGCTGCTCCTCATGACAAAGGTTTCTTGGTGTCTTACCTTGAAATGTGCCAGTGAGCCTTGTACTTCCTTGGGGTCACCTCTGCCAGCACAGCTTCCCCCATGGGAAGGATGATGCTGCTGGGGGCTCACCACCAGCCCCTTCAGATGTTGCCCCATAGTCCCCAAAATGCCCCAAGTGTCTCAAAGCAGAGGATTTTTAGTAAAGTTTTATTGAAAATAGTTCTTGCACGTAACAAACCACATTAGTGCAACACAAATATCGTGTGACAGAAATAAGTAACTTAATAGCAAAGGTCTTTTCTCAGAAAGAAAAGAATCAAAATACTGAAATTATGTTCTTTACAATTAATTGGAATGAAGCTGCTCAGTTCTCCAATAATTCAGATAAAGAATCCCAGAATGGTTTGGGTGGGAAGGACCTCTCATTCCACCAGCCCAGATTCCTCCAAGCCCCATCCAGCCTGGCCTGGAAAACTCCCAGTATGGAGCAGCCACAGCTTCTCTGGGCAACCTGTGCCAGTGTCTCATCACCCTCACAGCCAAGAATTTATTCCCAATTTCCCATCTAACCCTGCCCTTTGCCAGTGGGAAGCCATTCCCTCTTGATCTGGCACTCCAGGCCCTTGTCCCAAAAGTTGCTCTCCAGCTCTCTCAGAGCCCCTTCAGCTCTAGGATGACACTGCTGGAGTAGAGAGGTTGGACCAGATGACCCATTGTGGTCCCTTCCAACCTAACCAATTCTGTGATTCTCCTGGGACAGAGATCCCCAGGTGACCATGCAGCTCAAGTCTCTGGAGCTGTGACCTGCTCCGATTGCATCCTGCCAGCAAAGTCTGCCCTGTGCCAGAGGACACCATCCTGGAGGTACAGTCTGTGAAGATGCTTCCCACCAAGGGCCCATCCCAATGTGGACTTCAAAGGCAGTTGAATGGGGAAATGGGTCTCTGGGGACATCAAGAAGGGTTTGTGCTCTGTCCTTTGGGACCTGCCCTCAGGGAAGGAGTGGGAAAAACTTTCTCCTAGACGCTGTCAAACTTGGAGGGCTGAGAAGGAGACAGTCCCTTGTTCACAAAATGAGGGTTGATGTACACCTCAGCCATTTCCTGGTACTCCTCTGCTTTGTCCTCACGGAGATCAAAGAAGGTTTTCAGCAAGTCCAAGTTGAGGTAGTGCAGTGCCACAACGGTGATCCCAGCCACGAAACAGAGCAGGCCTGGAAAAGAACATGCCCTCTGAGAGGGTTCCTGTACACACAGGCACAGGACCCACCCCACAGCCCTCTGATAGCCAGGAGACAATGTCTTCACTTATGGAAGGTGGTCTTGTACTCTATGAGGTGACTTCGGCTGTGCTGAGCATCTTAAAATTCAAGCATGGGTCTCAAAAACCCAAGCAAGTGATTTCCACCTCTTTGCACCTCAGGAAGTAAAAATCCTTTCACTGCCCTTGAGGTGGGGATGGTGTTTTCCCTTCTGACATCCCTCTCCACACCTCTGCCAGGATCTGCTTTGCCAAAGGGGTCTGGGTGGCTGCACTTCCCACCTGGGACAAAAGCTCTGGGACTCCTGCACACCCAGAGGGACAAGGTGGTGTGCCCGAGGCACCTTGGTGTCCTTACCAATTGCTAGTGTGAGCCAGAAGGATCCCCCATAGGCTACGTGGAGGGTTTCAGTGCCAATCTGGATCAGACACATTGGGGTGTTCCTCACGGTGGAGAACGAGAGCAGCGAGAAGATCACGAAGGCCCCTGTGACCAGGAGCATGTAGCCTCCATAGACAGGGGCAGGCATGGAGAAGAGAATGTTGGAGATGAGCCATGTGCAAAAGGCCACCCTGGAGACAAGAGGAGACCAACAGATGAGTTGTGCAAGTGCCACAGGTGCTCTTTGTGAGGGTTTCCATGTGGGAGGAGGAATCTGGGCTCCAGGTTGCATTGTACAAGGCAGAGAAGCTCTGTGGGCAGGTAGGAGTGATCCCTAATCCCCAGGCTGAGCAAGCAGATGTGCAAGGCTCACACTGCTACACCCAGAAGGCAGTAACAAACTTCCCTTTGCTCAGCACACAGACAGCACCAGCCTTCAGGAGGCCGTGGCAGCCCACTCAGTGTATCCAGAGCACCCCAGCTCCCTGCCCCACCACGTGTGCAGTGTGGACCTCAGAGAGCTGCACACAGGACTGGGATAATTGCAGAACGAGGCATGAGTCATTTGCAGCAGCTCTGCACGTGGCTGAGGAGCTGGCTGACAGGGGAAGCCTTCAGCTATGGGCCAGAAGCTCTTGCTCCATGGTATCACCAAGTCCCTTTCCTAGCTCCTGTATCTCTGCTGTCAAACACAGAGCAGGGAGAACAGCACTGCAACGGCCCTTGCCCTCCACAAGTCTTGGTGGTAGGAACCATCTCCTGACAGCTGTGGACCAGTTCTCACCCAGCCCAAGTGAGCAGCGACATGTCTACTAAAGAGTTGAGATCAACCTCACAATAACAGCACCATCTGCTTTGCCTCACTTAGTCCCACTCCCAGATATCAAATATACTCACAGATGGGGTTGGGAGAGCTCTACATGCGTCCACAGGCCTCTCTGGGCCATCAAGGACAGTGGATTCAACTCCATCCATGGGGATGGACATGTGCCTTCATCACCACATTGCAGCAAGGACCTGCACCACGTTCCTCTCTCCTATGTCCAGCCCTGGTGGATTTGGCCAGCAGAGAGAACCAGAACCTCTTCTCCGCTCACCCCAAAGTGCCTACAGGGCAACCAGTTCAACTTCTGGCCTTGCAAGGGTCCCTCCATGTATACAGCTTTCCTTCTGGCAGCATTGCCATCCCATCCATCCCAGAGGACTAGGGAAGAGGCAGCAGAGCCCTTCCCATGTGTGTGCACCAGCAGAGGAAGGCTCACCAGAGCGTGGCCGATGCGTAGTGGCTGGAGATGCGGTACTGCCTGTGCACGGCGCACGCGCTCTGCGTGGTGAACTTCTCTGCCACATAGAGGATGGGGCTGGGCAGCCCCTTCTCCAGCCCCTTGGTGTAGCTGTGGTCATAGTTAGCATCGAAGCTCCAGGGAAAGTGCTCGTTGTAGTTGATGGTCTCGTTGATCTGGTTCACTGGGTTTCCTGCAGGAGGGAGAAGCTGAGGTCCTGCTGTGTGCCAGCACCTGGGTGCTCCCAGTCAGGAACTCTGGGTCTCATACAGACCAAGTACCCCCCAGAGAAGCTGGAGACTTCCTGGGGCCATGGCCACTCCAGAGCTGCAGATCGGGACATTGGACTTACCCCTGAGTGTGACATTCACCCCTGCCAGGCCAATGTGCAGTCCAACATCTGCAGTCACCAGGGCATGGCTGAAGGACTTGTAGGAGGTGTTTGCCTGCACCCAGCCAGTCTCCCAGTCCCCTGTGAACTGGACAACTGCCAGGAAAAGTAAAACTGGGGTTAAAGCAGTGCTGGTCTCAGGCTTTGCTGTGCTCAAGGGGGAATCACAAGCAGCGTTCTCACTGTGGAAGTGGGAGTGTAAGGAGGGCAGGAGAGCTGACTCAGCCACCAGGACGTGCCTCAACCAGCTCCCACACCCTTCAGAGTTCAGGTCCTCCCATCACTGAGCATCCACTCCCTGGATCTGGGAGCAGGGGTGCTCAGATCTTCAGGGATGAATGCAAGGACCTAATTCTTCCTTGGACATCCTCTCCAGGACTTCCCTGCCAGTTCCTCACCACAGCAAGCACTACAGCACCCAGGGAGAGGGCTCAGAGATGAGACTGTTTGTCAGCCACGGGAACAGAGGTGAGTAATTCCGCATTTTAAGCTCCCTACACTGCACTATCAGTAGTGAATAGTGAAGGTCACTGTCAAGCAGAGGCAGTGGGGAGGGATGGGAAGTGCTGGCACACCTCGGACAGTCATTCCAGCTGGGGGAAAGAGAATAATTTGAAGGATTTCTGGTATATGTCTTTTGGAACAAGATACCCTTTCCTGAAGCATTTCCACCCTGTGGTCAGCTTCATTTTCCAGCAGGGAAATGGGCTAAAAGTGAAACAAATGACTTGCTCTCAGGCTGACAACAAAACCTGCTTGTGAGGGCACTGGTCCAGTGGCAGCTCTGCAGGAATGTTTTCTGGCTGCAGGGGTGAGTGTGCCCTGCTGCTGCCAGACAAACTCTGACTTCGGAACAATTCATTCCTCCCATGTGCCCAAGTAGTTCCTGACTGCATCCTTGTCATGGAGTGGCACTGGGTGGCTCTGCAGGGCTGAGCTGGATGAGGCTGTGGAACCAGCCCTGATCTCCACCCCTCTGCCACCTCCAGCCTGGCATCATACTCAAGGGTGGCTTTGGTAGCATCTCCCAGCACCTGTACATTCCCAGGTGGAGGGTGGCCTGGTCCATGTGGTCCATGGCTGGTCACAGCCTGGTTACCAACTCCTAGTGCCTGGTAGAACTGGGAGCTGAGTCTTTTAGGTTGCACTTTTTATCATCCCTCTCCAGGCAGGATTTTGTAACCCACCCTGTCCACAGCAGGAGGGTTTCTTTAATTTAGGGTCAGGGATGGTTGCTCTCCCCACTTGACACCTCCTGTCCCCTCAATACATCTTTCCTTGTCCATCCTGTCACCCTGTTCGAGTGTGATTTCCCATCACCTGGTTTCCATCATCAGTTATTACAGAAGATTTCCTGGTTTTTACTAAATCAAATCCTCTCCCTCACTTCTTCCTGCCTGGCTCCTTGGAAAGTCTTTACCCCCAGCCTGTGCTTTATTCCAGCCTGCTCACTCCATGTCACTGTTCCTTGCATCCTCCAAATGTGCCTGGCTGCAGCCCCAGGCAGGAGGCACAGGGAGGGGAAAAACAATGGAAAATTGGTAAGGAGAATTGTGAACACACTCAATTGGCTTGCAACTAAGAAGCAGAAAACTCCAAAGATTATACTAATCACCATCTAGCCTAGTGTGTTGGAGAAGTGGAAGGTCTGTGTTTAAACAGCTCAGACGCACCCATTGAATAGGTTTGAGATCCTGCCCTGCTACAGGAAAGATCAAAGTACATCAGTAAACTACACCTGCCCAAACCCCTGAAATACAGGTGAAAACAAGAGGTTCAGTGCTCCTCTAGCACATAAAAAACCATGCAGTGCCAGCATCCCCTCCCTGCCCATGTGTCGCTTTGGGAGTCCCAAAAACCCAGGTAATGAAAACAAATCTGCTCTTTGTATTTCATCCCTGGTTTTGTGGCTGTTCCTGCATCCTGCCTGTGTTGGCTCACACACATGGCTGGAGGAACACAAGGCTGTGCAGCCTAATGGAACTGGAGCTATTTTGAGTTACAGCCAACAAAGCTCCCAGAATAAAGCACAGGCACCTCCAGGTGCTCTCAGCCTCACTGCCAGGGATGGGGAAACCCTTTTGGGAAGCTGTGTGACTGCTTTGCAGAGCAGGAGGAAGGTAAACCCCACAACCAGCCTCGACCAAGCCACAGCTGTGACCCCCAGCTCACATTTCCCAATCACAGACCCTGCCCCAGGGTTTGATCCTGCCCCCAGGCCCCACCACTGAGGGCTGTGCAGCACTTACCCACAATCACCACTCCTATGACAAGGCTGAGGAGAACACGAAGAGTCCAGTACAGCCTCTGCAGGGAGAGAGGTGGGACATCAGGCAGGGAGGAACAGCCCCAAGTCTCCTCCTGCCTCACCCCAAACCACCTGGCAGTGTCCCAACATCCAGAGTGTGGGGAGCAGCTGCTTGTCCCCAGGGTCACGCACCGCCCGTCCACGGATTCCTGGAATGATGAGCAGGAAGGTGCAAGCCAACGTCAGGAAGACCACGATCACTATGATAGTGCTGATGTCAAACCCAGCAGCCTTCCTCTGCTGCGGGTAGAAGGGGTAGATGCCATCAAAGAGAGTCATCCTGGACCTCCAGGAGCCTGTGGGAGAGAGGTAGGCACAGTGGGACCCTGCACTGCCCTGCCCAGCTGCCTGCAGCCTGTGGTGGCCAGTCTCAGCTCAGCTCTGGAATAACCAGCTGTGGGGGCTCCACCACAAAACTCCCTGGAGGGACAAGGAAATGTGACGCTGCAAGGAAACAGCCCAGGAGAAATACTTCCCAGCAGAGAACACGCCACCCAAAAGCCCTTGGTGGAGAGGAGGTGCCTGGGGCAGGGCTCCACCAGCCCGAGGGACTGGGGCAACCCCAGGAACCACAACCACTGTCTTGCTGCAGCATGAGGAGCAGCCCAAGAGCAAGAACCTGTTGAGCAGCTCCTGCCCAGACAGAGCTGGGTCTTTCCCTCCAGCAGGTGCAGCCAGGGGTTTCCGCTTTTTGGAGCACCTGTAGAGGAATTCCATGAGCCATTGACCACGGCAGACGTGTTTTCCTCCAAAACCACAAGGAAACACTGAGAGTATGAATTTCACAGTAGCAAAGTTATCCCCAGCCAGTGACCTCCAGTGCCAAGTGGAATAAAACCCACCAGTCCCATTCCCACCCATCTCCTCCAAGAGGCTTTTCCCCAGGAGCTGCAAAGTATGATCTGAGGAGGGAGGACTAATCCTGTGCTTGGTCCAGAGGGGCCAGAACAAGCCCTGGAATTGAGATGTGGGTCCAAGGAGCACACAAACACTGGGAGCCCGTCTCAAGGCCAAAGGAAACTAAGTTACATAAGATGACAATGTGTGTGTAATTCCCAGAAATGACTTTGAACTCCCTCTGACACTTCAGTTCCAGCAATTACACATTCTCCCCCCATGCCTGGGCTAGATATTCTCTACCAGAAGTGATTATATGCTTAGTCTCCTTATTTTGCTTATTTAATAGCCTCTCTGCATGTAACTCCTGCAGGAATCTGCTAAAGTCAGGGAATGCCTGAGCTAATCTGACTCATGACTGAACATCATTTCATGCAGGAGATGATTTTATTCTCATTTTTTTGTAAACAGTGTTAATCATATTTTCAGGTAAGATCCAACCTGGAGAAATTCAGCCAAAAAAAACCAAACAAAAAACAAAACCACGGAGAAATTCAGCCAAAAAAAAACCAAACAAAAAACAAAACCAAAAACCAACAAAAAAACCCCAAAACAGCCAAGTCCCAAATCCCGAGAAATGGATGAGGATCACAATAAGTATCATAAAACAGTTTGCCTGGGCAGCTGAATCCCCCAAAACAGCCAAGTCCCAAATCCCTAGAAATGGATGAGGATCACAATAAGTATCATAAAACAGTTTGCCTGGGCAGCTGAATCACTTTCAATGCATAAAGGATTGAAAGAGGCTCCAGAATAATTTTCTGCCCAGTAAGCCAGATAATGACAGCAAAGATTTTAACAGAGACTGGGATTTTACAATGGACCTGGACCCAACCTTGGCTTAACTCTGCTCCAGACTAACAGAACTGTTATGTGCTCTTGCAAATCTTCTTTGAGGCTATTTTGCTGCTTTGGATAATTTCTCTAGAAAGCTGAGCCCAATGAAGGGCATCCTTCAAGGGCTGTGATTACCTGACAACCAGGAGCTGTAGCTGATTCCTGATGCTGCTGAAGTCCAGCTGCAGCTTCCAAGCCCAGAAAACCTTCCCACAAAACAGGCAGAGCTGCTGAAAAAGAAGAATTAAATGAGCAGTTTAGCCTAGGATGAGTTAAATCTTGATGGCTTGAATTCCACTGCTTCCCTTGTATTTTTGCCCAAATTTCCTATGAGATGCAATGAAGGAAGGAAAGATTTCTAAGTCTATATTCACCAAAACACAACTGTCCACTGCTTGAAACAACTCAAAACCAGAACATAACATGGCAAATTCTTCCTTGTTAAATCTAAGGTTAACTTTCAACCAACAGCCAGGGAAGGGATGTTTGCATTTCCGCTTTGCAACTTTTGGCACTGGTTTTATAGAGAATTCTCAGGGAAACAACTTTTTTGCTGTTCACCCAGTCCTTCTCCCTTGATTACCCTGCACAGAAGACCAGCTCCTTGGCATTCTTGTAGCTTTCAAGTAGAAAAGTGGTGCCTGCAGCTCAGGGCAGGAGAAACCTGTTGTAGCTTGGAAAGCATCCTCCATGCCAAAGCATGGCTGTGGCCCTAGAGCTCCTGTGATCTCCTCTGTCATAGTGTATGGAGAGGGAAAAGACTGGAGACATCTTCAAGGAAGGATCAGAAATGGACAATTTATGTTTAAAATATTCTGGGCTTGCAGAGGAGAAATGCAAAGGAGGCAGAAAGTTCACCCACACCCCAGAAGTTTCTTGTTACAGCAATTGGCTTTTCCTACCCCAGAATTATCTGAGGCAAAAGAAGTTGTTTTTTTTTTTCAGAAGGGCTCAGCCAAAAACTTCTGAGGGCAGAGCCAGCAGCAATCCTAGCTGGGGTTGCTCAGAGCTGCAGGTCGGTATTTTCCGTAGAAACAAGAGAAATCCTGTCCCCTGGAAGCTGAATGATGAAAAGTTGCAATTTGCGGGTGGGGAAGAGAGGGGAAGGAGTGAACCTGCCTGCACTTTCCTGCTGCTGGAAGTGGGTTAAATCGGCATAGGAGAACCCGAGGGATAACTCCAGATAGGATGATGCTCTCTCCCCTCCCCATCCCTGCGAGCACGGAGGGTTGGGGGCGGCTGCGCTCCCCCAACACCGACCGACCGACCTACCTGCTGCAGGTGGCAGTGATGGGCACAGGGAGCAGCGATAGGCACGGGCGGCTCCAGCCCGAACCGACGGCTTTTATAGGCGGCCACGGGCGCGGGGCAGTATGTAACCGACG